AAGGAGGAGTTTCAACTGGTTGCCATGGAACCCTGACTGTAGTGGCTGAGCACAGAAAACATTTGAGAGAACTTTGACTGCAAAACGGAGTAGAGGAATGGGTGACAAGTAAAGAAGAAAAATGTAAGATTCAAAGGACTTTTGTTTCTTTTTCTATTTTGGAATGGAAGCTGTTAGAGTCTTTTTTTTGTTTGTTTGCTGTTTCAAATGATCCAGTAGAGAAGAAATGTGTCTGGAATTTAGTTTCGTTTGCATGTCTGAGCATTGGAAAGTTTGATCCATTCTCTTTTAAATATTTATAGTAAATCAATTATTCTTACAATTTCTATTCATGTATCATTTTATCGGAAGAGGTTTTTCTTTCAGAATTGGTTCAGGAATGGAATATTTTAATGTAATGGTACATGAAAATAATCTAAAAGTTAAACTCACATGCATTTGTTTTTAGAAATTCTGTAATAAACACAAGACACTTTGGTCATATTGAATAGAATTTAAACATCCCTTGATGATTTATATATCACAGTACCTTTGAAAGTAGTATCATGAATAGCTGTGCTTTAACAAGGTACTCTAAAATACAGGTGTGTCACCTTTCTGGTTTTTCAGATTCTGGGGAGGGGGAGGCTTTCTAATGAATAATAGAGAAGGCAAGCTACTGAAATCGTTCACTGCAGACTGTAACTTTTGGATTGTATAGTTCAAAGGTTAAAAAAAAAATGTTTCTCTGGACCAACCATGTCTTTCACATGTATTGTACATTCAGTAAGTGTTGGTTGAATGCATAAATTAATAGTTGAATGAATGATGTTTTTTGGTGAATTTCTTTAGAGAAACAAATTTTCAGTTTATTAAAAGCAGGTTTCCAAAACTGCATAGGTATAAAATCTTATTTTAAAAAATTGCAAGATTTAGAGATTATTTGTAATCATAGAAAGAAATGGAAAGAGAATACAAATGTATCTGCTATTAGTTGTAAATACTTGAAAATAAATATTTTATAGCATATTATAGAGTATCCTGAAAAATGTATTTTGGAGCCAGAGTTCTTGGGTTTAAATGCTGAGTCTGCTACTGAGCAGTTTTATGGGCTTGGGCAAGTTATATGGCCTTTCCATGCCTACCTTCTTCCTTTATCAAATGCCTACTATGTTATCTACTTCACAGAATTGTTGGGAGGACTGAAGTGACTTAAATACTTGTATGTGGTTTAGAATAGTACACAGTACCTTCACAGTATGTTTTGAAAAGCTCACCAATGTCATTTTAAAAAGGGTTTCTGTTACATAAGTAATATTTTTCAAGTAAATCTAAACAATTAAAGCTTGTTTGTGTAGAAAAGGACAACAAGGCGGGGTTCAGTGGCTCACACCTGTAATCCTAGAGCTTTGGGAGGCTGAGGCGGGTGGGTCATCTGAGGTCAGGAGTTCAAGACCAGACTGGCCAACATGGCGAAACCCCTGTCTCTACAAAGAATACAAAAAACAAAAGTTGGGCATGGTACAGGTGCCTGTAATCCCAGCTACTCAGGAGGCTGAGGTAGGTGAATCACTAGAACGCTGGGCATGGAGGTTGCAGTCAGCTGAGATCATGCCATTGCACTCCAGCCTGGGTGACAGAGCGAGACTGTGTCTCATAAGAACAAAAACAAAAACTGGTTGGAGGGACAATAGAAAAAGCTAGTGTATGGTAATATATTTTTTTCTATGAAGTAAAGCAAGTAACATGGTTTTTCTTTTTCTTTGGCTGTCAGAAAACTTGATCTAAACTTAATGTTTTAGTAGTAATAATACTGTATTATCCTATAATTCTTCCCATTGCATTTATAGTTTTATCCCCTTGTAGAAAACAATTGTATTTTACATCACCAGTGAAAAATTACCTATAAATTTCATGAATAGGAGTGAGAAATTACAAATGGAGGTTTTACATTAAAAAGTTATGGGTATTCTTTGTATTTTACATACTATTTGCCTGATTGGAATTTTTTTTTAGTTTTGCAAAGAAAATACGTAATGGAAAGAACAAAGTTAGACTTATTGGACTTTTTCTTCATGTTCTGATTGGTTATCATAAGAGTTGCTCTGATCCAATCAGAACATGAATAAAAAGTCCAATCAGAGTAGGCCTAGAGGTTTTTCTCTCATCCAATCAGAACACGTAGTACATAACCTCCATATATAAAACATGCTGGGGTGGTGGGGGGTGTTGTGCCTTTCCAGGTTCTTCTGTGGCTGCCTGCGCAGCTGTTCCATTCCCAACTAAGAGAAGGAGGCACCACCTGCTGCATGCTGGTGGCTGAAGCCTGGGGGACTGCGGCTCACCTCGTTGGCTCACCTCACTGCAATTGGAGGCAGCAACAGACACTGCAGCTGGCCAGAGTGTAGAAAGGTGATAAGGTAGGTGTGCTATGCAGGGCTGCACGGCCTGCAGCCTGGGGCTGGTTGGGGGTGCTATCTCAGGGGTCACTGCACGCCTTGGGTGACTGGTTGGGTGTGCTATCCAGGGCTGTGCTGCCTACACCAGGGTGTAGGTTGGGGGCCCTATCCGGGGCTACACTGCCCTCCACGGGGAGCAGTTTAGAGGCACTGTCCTGGATTGCAGTGCCAGCAGCAGTGAGGTGGGCTGAGGGTGCTATCTGGGGCTGCTCTGCCTGCAGGGGTGTTTGAGGGGGTTCGGGTTCTGGGTACTATCAGGTGCTGCAATGCCCACGGTGCGGGGAGGATGGTGGTTTGAGTGTGTTGGGTGTGCTATTTGGGGGCTACATTGCTGGTGTCGGGGCAGGATGGGGTGGGAGCTATTTCAGGGGCTGCACTGATTGCTCTAGCTAGGATTTCCAGCATTATAATAAATAACAATAGTGACAGTGTGTATCCTTATCATGTTCCCGATTTTAGAAGAAAGGCTTTCCATTTTTCCCCATTCCATGTGATTCTAGCTGTGGGTCTCTCTCATGTGGTTTTTATTGTGTGGATTTTTGAGAATTTATAGCATGAAGGGATGTTGAATTTCATCAAATGTTTTTTCTATTTCAATTGACGTGATCATACAGTTTTTGTTGTTTATTCAGTTGATGATGATGTATCACATTGATTGCATGTTAAATGGCCCTTGCATCCCAGGGATAAATCCCACTTAATCATGAGGAATTATCTCTTTAATGTGTTGTAGAATTTGATTTGCTGGTATTTTGTTGATGATTTTTGCATCAATATTAGAGATACCAGCCTGTAGTGTCTTTTTTGATATCTTTGTCTCATTTTAGGGTCAGGGTAATAAAAGCCTCATAGAATAAATTTGGAAAGGCCAGGCATGGTGGCTCACACCTGTAATCCCAGCACTTTGGGAGGCCAAGGTGGGCAGATCACGAGGTCAGGAGATAGAGACCATCCTGGCTACCATGGTGAAACCTCATCTCCACTAAAAATACAAAAAATTAGCCGGGTGTGGTGGCGGTCGCCTACAGTCCTAGCTACTCAGGAGGCTGAGGCAGGAGAATGACGTGAACCAGGGAGGCGGAGCTTGCAGTGAGCTGAGATTGCACCAGTGTACTCCAGCCTGGGTGAAAGAGCAAGACTCCATCACACACACAAAAAAAATAAAAATAAAAAAAAGAATTAAGTTTGGAAGTATTTCTTGAGTAGAATTGGTATTAGGTCTTTAAACATTTAGTGTGAAGCCATCAGTAGTGAAGCCGTCAATTCCTGGGCTTTTCTTTACTGGGATGGCGTCAGTCTCGTTACTTGTTACCAATCTGTTCTGGTCTTGGATGTTTTCATGGTTCAACCTAGGTAGATTGTATGCGTCTAGGAATTTGTCAATTTCTAGTAGGGCTTCCAATTTATTGGCATGTAATAGCCAGTTATGATCCTCTGAATTTCTGCAGTAACCATTGTAATGCCTCCTTTTTTTTATCTCTGATTTTATTTGAATCTTCTCTATTTCTTAGCCTGGCTAAAAGTTTGTCAATTTTGTTTAACTTTCCAGAAAACCAACTTTTTGTTTCATTTTGTGTATTTTGTTCATTTCAGTTTTATTTCTGCTATGATCTTTATTATTTCTTTTCTAATTTTGGGTTTAGTTTGACGTTTTCTAGGTGTTTAAGATGTATTGTTTATTTGAAGTTTTTCTTCTTTTTTGATGGTGGGCACTTACAGCTATAAATTTGACTTTGTACTCTTTTCTGTGTATCATAAGTTTTGGTATATTATGTTTTCATTACCATTTATTTCAAGAAATTTTTCAGTTTCCATCTTAATGGTTTCATTGACCCACTAGTCAGTCATTCAGGAGCATATTGTTTAACTTCCATTTGATTGTATGATTTCCGAAATTCTTCCTCTTACTGATACCTATTTTTATTCCTTTGTAGTCATAGAAGATGGCCACAAAGACAGCAGCGTGGTTGGAGTGGTAGGAGGTGGCCATCAGAGAGAGCTGCTCATTGCCCAGCTACAGGAGGAGTGAGAAAGGGGAACCATCTGTTGCAGGCTGGAGGCTAGAGCCTGTGGCCTGGTGGCTCGCCTCACTGTGGTTGGTGGTGGTGGCGACAGAGACTACTGCAGTACGACCACAGTGGTATGACAGGGGCTATCCGGGGCTGCACTTTTCAGAGTGGGGGGTGGGTTGGGGGCGCTATTCAGGTGTCACTGCTTGCGTTGGGGCTACTGGTTGGTAGCACTATATGAGGCTGCACTGCCTGCGGTGGGGGGTGGGTTATGGGTGCTCTCTGGGGCTGCAGTGCCCATGGAGGGGGGCAGGTTAGGGGCACTATTGGGTACTACGCTGCTGGTGGCATTGGGCTGGGAGTGGGGGAGTTGAGGGTCGCTATTGAGGGCCAGACTGGCTGTGGTGGGCTGTGAACTGGGTGCTATTGGGGACTGCACTGTTGGCGGTGGTCAGTGGAGGTGGCTGTGACAGTGGTGGCATCCAGGGAAGGAGCGGGTCTTCTCTCCCTGGACTTCATACTCCAGAGGGTGACATCTTGCTTGTGCTGGAGCATGGCGGGCGCACATCATTTCCATAGTAATGGTGAGCATGGCAGAGCCCCCACACCCATCGTGGTTCCTGGGCCCAGAGACTGCTTGGGTCCAGTGAGTCAGTGCCTCAGAGACTGCTTGGGACCCCCAGTTACGAGGTAGAGGACACCACGGAGGACAGGGCCCTGTAGGTGGGGACGTCAGGAACAGGAACTGGGACTTGGGTGTAGAGGGCTGGCTGGGTCTGAGTTTCTGCTGCTCCTGTTCCCCAAGGGGTGTAGGCCTGGTGGGCCCAGTGGTTCTTTTGGAGTGGGCAGCCAGGCACTGTGGTGTCTCCAGCAGCCACCCCAGGCCCCGTTTCCTGGCCAGCTTGGGCCAAAAGGAGAAGCTGGTCTTTGGAGGTTGGGTGTGAGTGCTTTTGCTGAAACTGGCCCGTGCCACCCAGTCGCTGACATGGCAAGGTAAGGCTCTAATGCTACTAGTCCCTGCGTTGTCCTCTAGGCTTTTCTGGCTTTGCCTGCCCAGCTGTTCCATGCCAGGAGGAGGAGGAGCCCGCTGATGCACCATGGAAGTTGGAGCCTGGGACACTGTGGCTCACCTTACTGCGGGATGGTGGTGGCAACAGAGACTGTAGCGCACCAGAGTGGTAGGAGGGTGGCCGTGATAGGAGGGCCTCCAGCTGCGGCCAGGCTCAGGACAGGACCATAGCAGTGGCCAGGTAGTAGGAGCCTTGTAGGAAGTGCTGATGCATTGAGGGCAACAGCAGCGGTGTTATTGGCACTGTGCTAGTGGTGGCAGTAGCAGCAAGTCTAGGAGTTGGGAATGGGGGTGGTAGGAGCACTGCAGGGCTGACCCCACCAGGCCTAGGGTAGGTAGGAAGCTGTGAGTGCTGTATCTTGGACCTCTTTGGCAGCGGTGGAGGTGCAGCCCAGAAAAGGAGGAGGCCTCCTCCTCTGCAGAATCTGGAGAGTGCCCTCCTCCTACTGGCACCTGAGCCAGGCGGGAGTGGCAGCATTGTCGCACTCTCAAAATTTAGGAGGTGACTATTTGTGTATCTGTCTCCTTGTTTTCTTGTTGATAGCCTTGTGCTTTTTCAAATTCCATTGTTTTTAGTGTTCTAAGACTTGTTTTGTGAGCTAAGGTATGGTCTGTGCTTGAGACTAACCCATGTGTTGAGGAAAGTAATGTGTGTTCTGCAGCTCTTGGGTGAAATATTCTGTAAATATGTATTAGATCCACTCAGTCTATAATTCAGATTAAGTTTATTGTTTAAGTTTCTGTGTGGATTGTCTGCTCAGCACCGAAAGTGGGGTGTTGATATGTCCAGCTATAATTGTACAGAGTTCTAGCTCTCTAACTCTGATAGTTTGTTTATATATCTGGGTGCTTGCTGAGTGCATATATATTTACAATAGTGATGTCTTCTTGCTAAATTGACCCTTTTGTCATTATATAGTGGCCTTCTTTGTCTCTTCTTATAGTTGTTTTAAGTTTATTTTGTCTGATATAAGTATAGTTATTTATGCTCCTTTTTTGGTTTCCATTGGCAGGGAATCTTTTCCATCCCCTTATTTTCAGATGTGTGTGTCTTTGTAGGTGAAATGTGTTTCTTTTAGGCGACAGATAAATCGGTCTTACTTTTTTTTTTTCCCACTCTGCCACGTATGTCTTTTGATTGGAGAGTTCAGTCTACTTATATTCATTGTTATTATTGATAAGGGCTTACCCTTACTATCTTGTCTGTGGTTTTTTTTTGGTTGTTTTAAGGTCTTCTCTCCCTTTTTTGTTCCTTCCTGTCTTGCTTTTAGTGAAAGTGATTTTTTCTAATATGATGTAGTTTTTTTCTTTTTACTTTTTGTTTATCCTTTCTATGTTTTTTGATTTTAGGTTACCATGAGGCTTGCAGGTACTATTTTATAACCTTATTTTAAGTTGGTAACAACTTAACACTTCTTGCATAAACTAACAAGCCAAAAGACTGAGGAAGACTCTCAACTTAAACAAACATTGTTCTTCTGCTTTTTACGTTTCTTCTTTTTCTTTCTCTTTTTAGATGGAATCTTGCTGTGTCGCCCATGCTGGAGTGCAGTGGCGCAATCTCAGCTCACTGCAAACCACTGCCTCCCAGGTTCAAGTGATTCTTCTGCCTCAGCCTCCCAATTAGTTGGTATTACAGGTGTGCACCACCATACCTGGCTAATCTTTGTATTTTTTGTAGAGATGGGGTTTCACCTTGTCGGCCAGGCTGGTCTTGAACTCCTGACCTCAAGTGATCTGCCTACCTCGGCCTCTGAAAGTGCTGGGATTACAGGCATGAGCCACCATCCCTGGCCTGTTGTTTCTATTTATAACTTACTGTACTGGCTATGTCTTGAAAAGTTGTTGTAGTTACTTTTGATAGCTTCATTCTTTAGTCTTCCTACTTAAGAATAGTATAGATGCCACAGGTATAGTGTTAAAATATTATATTTTCTTTCTGTGTGCTTCTTATTACCAGTGACTTTTATCCCTTCAAGTGATTACTTACTGCTCACTAGTGTCCTTTCCCTTCTAGATTGATATACCCCTTTTGCATTTCTTGTAATACAGGACTGGTGTTGATGAAATCCCTCAGCTTTTGTTTGTCTAGGAATATCTTTATTTCTCCTTCATGTTTGAAGGATGTTTTCACCAGATATATTATTCTAGGTTTGAAGGATTTTTCCTTCAGAACTTTAAGTATGTCTTGCCACTTTCTCCTGGCCTGTAAGCTTTCCACTGAAAAGTCTGCTGCAGGACATATTGGAGCTCCATTGTATGTTATTTGTTTCTTTTCTCTTGTTGCTTTTAGGATCCTTTATCCTTGGAACTTTGGGAGTGGATTATTAAATGTCTTTAGGTAGTCTTCCCAGGACCCTGACTTAGGGTTCTTTCTGATTCCTCTTTCTCCCTTGTCTCTCACTTCCATCCATTCTGCTGTGAAGCCCAGTGATGCCACTTAAGACTGGTTTTTGGGGTGTCCCTACCTAAGTCTCTATCTGGACTGTCTCAGAAGCACCCACCCTGCTGCAGGGCACTGTCCCATACCACCACTCTATTGGCTGCAAGCGGGATCTTTCTGAAACACAAAACAGGTTTTGTTACTTTCGTGCACAGTAGTCTTAGAAAGTGCTTCATTGCCTTCCAGCTGAAGCATAAGCCTCTCAACAAAGCATCAATGTTTTCCCCACTCAGCCTCAGTTCCTGCCCTATCCATTTTGCTTCTCTCTACCCAGGCCCCTCCAGGTCACTGGGAGGCCCAACTGGAGTTGGGGATAGGACTCACCCTCTGAGGAGACTAAGAGCTGGTCTCTGTAGTCAGATGGTAGTGTGTCCTGCCACTTTTGGGACAGTGGACAGGCTAATAACCTTTGGTAGACCTCCCTGTCTCCTTCCCTGTAATATCAGGTTGACATTTGTGCCAATGGCTGCATCAATACCACTTCCAACACTGCTTACCACCCAGGTTTGCTGTGAGGATAAACTGAGATTTAAAAGCCTTAGTGCAGTGCCAGGCCCAGGGTCAATCCTGAATGAAAGCAGTCAGAGCAGGGAGGTCTGAAAGGGGTAAGCAAGAAAGAAGCTAACAGTGGCTGTCCGTGGTGGCCAGACTTTTGGGGAGTTGTTTTGTTTTTTGTTTTTGTTTGTTTTCTGTTTTCATCATACTTTGTTAGAAAATGTTAGGCTATCCTACAACATGCAGGTCTTATCATGAAACAGGTGAAAATGGTTTCCACTCAAGAACCTTTTTAACTGTCCTGAGCAAAATGTGTCCCCTGCCTTACACCTCTGTTAGCTCTTCTCACCTACGGTAACCTGGTGATCATTCATTTGCCCTGCCTGCCCTCCACACTGGACAGTGGCCAGAAACCATGTTTTTGTGGTTCTCAGTTTTTTCCAGGACTTGGCACAGCACAAGGCGTCGAGTGCATGCTTGTTAATTTGACTTGAATTGAAGCCTTTCTCACTGCTGTCAGATTTTGCTTTCCATGGCTTCAGTTCCCACAAATCTCGGTCTGAAAATATTAAATACAGTTTTCCAGAAATAAACTATCCATAAGTTTCAAATTGCATATCATTCTGGATAGTGCGGTGAAATCTCACACCGTCCTGCTTCATCCCACCTGTGACACAAATCCTCCCTTTGTCCAGGGTGTCCATTCACACTGTAGATGCTACCTGGCTAGCAGTCACTTAGGAGCAGCCTCAGTTATCAGGCCGAGTTTTAAGGTATAAGAACAAATCTATCCATGAAGTAATGAGAAGGGAGCTGTCGTAATATTTTGTCACATCTCAGACTGCAGAAGTTATAGCCACAGTGCATAAATGCTTAAGGCGGCAAAAGCATTATATTTGTGGGTGGAAGGCTTGAAATATGTTGCAACTGGTGGCAACATGTTGCATCAGAAAGTGTTGAGCTGATATGAAGACTTGAGCAAGGGATTCCATGAAACAAGTGACAAAACCATTTACTGCAGGTAAGAGATGATTACACAGATTCAGGAAAGGGTTTGGACTGAAAAATATAAAAATTTCTGGAGAGACTGTATTTGCTGATGGAGAAGCTGCTGCCACATTTCTGGCAGAGTTGAAGTTGATTAAGGAGAAAGGATATCATCCAAAGCAAGTCTTCCAACTGCAATGAAACTGGGCTCTTCTGGGAGAAGATGTCCCAAAGAATCTACATTCCGAAAAGTGCAAGGGAAGCATGATGGCATAAAACATGGAAGGATAGATTAACACTGGTACTAGGTGGCAGTGCTTCAGGACATATTACAAAGCCAGGTATAGTGACAGAATACACACTTAAAAACAACAAAAAATTTTCTGTCCATGTTCTGGCATCACGATCAGAAAGTGTGGGTGATGGCCATTTTGTTTAGGGAATGAGTCCACCAATGCTTCATCCCAGAAGTGAAAAAAATACTTGAAAGAGGCGGGATTGGAATTCTAGGTCTTACTAAGAATAGACAGTGCACCTGACCATCCTGAATCTGTTTGCTATGAAGAAGAAAATGTCAGTGTTCCATTTTTACCTCCAAATACAACTGCATTATTTCAGCCCCCTGACCAAGGCATCATTCATATTGTCAAGG